ATAAATTATCATATATCGTATCAACCTCTTATGCTGAGAAGCTAGGAATATTTGTTAACTCAAACATCAGTTCATTATACATACTCTGAATTTGTTTTGGAGATGTTGTTGAGCTCTTCATTGCGTTAGCAACTTCATTCACACTTTCTGCCATCAAACAAATATACTCACGAATAATTTGATCGACAGTTGATTTTTTAGACTTCTTTTTCACGCCGCCTCCTATACCAGATGAAGGTTGAGGTTTCTTTGTTGTTCCAGTATTATTCTCTTTCTCTTGCATATCAGACCACTCAATATCCATTGGTCCATCTGCACCAACATCCATAAATTGTTGGGATTCATCATCGCTTAAATGTAATTGTTGCGTTCCAAGTGGAGTTTTAGAATTTCCAGATTTCGCCCACTCTCTAGTTGCATGTCCAATACCACATACTATCTCCAATTCTACATAATTTGCAATTGCAATATTTAAATAAGGAGCATCCTTGGGAAAAGCCTGTAAGAAATAAAGAAAAAATTGTTAACCGAAAAAAAATATCAAATTAAATTATGTGATTGAAATATTACCTGAATATGTGATGCATATTCATCTTGACCCATGACAATCATTTTTTTTGTTTCATCCCAAGATACACCTGATTTTTTTTTAACTCCTGAATGTGATTCCATACACTTCTTTGATGCCTTATTTGGTTTTTGCATTGCTCAGCTGTTACCTCTATTCCAAACTTCTCTTTCATTTTTTGGGCTGTACCTTGATAAACAGAGTCCTTGAATCCATGTGCACTTCGCATATTTGCATTTACAAATTCCATCATTATTTGAAGCAATCCAGTTATCCATTTAGGTTTTAAGCTCCATAAGAAATTTTTCCTCTTTGCTTTCGAATTATCGTTCAACTCTGTTTGTGACGAATTCATTCTTCCCTAACATAAAATAGTATAAATATATGTAACTCCTAAAAAGGACTTAATGTATGAATGACAATCTCTTTCATTATTTGGCATAGTAGTAACAAGCATTAACGAAAATACAACTTAAGTAGTTCACAAAAGAATCAAACAATAATAAATAGTAATAAGCACATCATTCTGTAATCAATGACAAGAAAGATAAAGTCACATGTAAATTTAAAAAATGTTAAGAAACAAATCTAATATCCATCATTTTGCATGCGAGACCACATGAATTGAGCAATTTCATCTCTTTTATCTAGC